TAATTTTTTGAATCTTTTCAGAATTCAACAATCAGTGATTTTCAGATAATACTATACTCTGTATTTAGCATATTCCTCGCCTTTTAGTCCATGTTTTGTAGGTTTCAATAGCTTGCAAAAAATAACGAAGTGAACAATTTACAGCTCTCCAGAAAAATCAAACAACCAGATCTTCGTTTCTACTGCTATCATTATTTCCCCTTTAATTTCTGCAGACATTAAAGTTCAAGGTGCAAATGCTGTTGTACTTGGCAGAAGCAAGATTGTTGTATGTTTTTATGATTGAAAAATGTACCCTTAAATAAACATAAGTTGTTTTGGTGTCAGAATTACTCAATTGATATGGGATCATTGTAGTTGTTTTCATCAACCCCTCACGACTTCTCCCTTGATAGACAGCTCCCCACACCCTTTCCCCAACTTCTTCATTGGAAAGACTTTATATTATATTAACAGACAAATTGCCAAGAATTTATAACAAAAATAAATACCAAGACTTTTATTTCAAAAATATTTTGCTCGACAACATATCAAGATAATATAGCAAGCTTACATGGTCATCCATATTCTGTAAAAGGATCTATAACATTTATGGAAGTTTCATGATTATTTTTTAAGCTGTGTCTGCAGGGGAGAATAAATATTTTAGGGTTTTAAAGATTTTCAAACAATTTGGTTTCGGTTCTCTGAATTCCAGGGTTCTCCCATGGCAAATCTTTTGACGTGGAATCATGCTACAGTTACAATTTGTCATTCTAGAACAAAGAATTTGCGAGATGTTGTAAGTAAACAGTATATCTTGATTTTCTGTGCATAAAATTGAGTCTTTTTTACTGAGATTTGCCTAGGTTTGGCTAACATTTTAAGACAATTGGCAAATAGACTGAAGCTACAAGAGTGTTTTATTTACTTTTGGTTTTGAGAGAAAATGATCCAATTGCAGGTTGAGCCTGATACATTTCCTTACTTAAGGACATTGTGTCTTATCTGTATACATCTGCTTGTTGTATGGTGAGACCATTTTTTGGTTTGCTTTCTTTTAACGCTGTGGTTATTGTTGAGGCACCGGATCTTCTTACATTTTAGCTATTGATCCGGGAGGCAAGAGCATTTTACTAGTTGCAAAACATCAACTGTTTGAATAACTCAAGCTTTTTTTCATTTAAATACTCCTTGCAGAGAAGCAATCTAGCAGAAAACTGTGATCAGACATTTATGTTGTTTGGAATGATTTTAATGTAGCCCGTGGCAACCCAACAGGTTTGTGATGACCCCCCCTTCCCTGTGGAAAAAGATATCTTAGTTTCTATTGGGTTGTTTTCTCATCTAGGGGTGCTAGTTAAGTGAATTTTCAGATTTATCAGCAAATAAAGGATGGTTCACCAACTTTGTTGGCAAACTGGATGGGAGCACCCCTCCCCTTTCGAGCACAATAGCTAGCCATATCCCTGTGGTTCACAGAACCAACTAAACGATATTTGGTCGAAATGTAATAACAGAAATGCTAAATTTGCAATAAGTTCCAGTGCCAGAACAATAACCAAAATGTTCTTTTAAACACTTTTTATGCTAGTATACTTTCATAATTAGCTTTCAGCTAAAGATTTGTTGTATCCTGCTAGTTAACTGAAATACAAGGAGTCAATTTGGCTGGAACTAAAGTATTTTTCTTCCTAGGAACTTTCTGCATTATCTTGTGCATCATCAATTGCATTTATTTGCTATTTTTTGTAAAATTTTAGGTAAGAAGTGGAGATATTGTTGTTGCTGCAGTTGGTGTAGCTGAAATGGTCAAGGTATGCTTCTCTTAATTTTTCTATGAAATAAAAATAGGATTTTTGTCTCATTAAGAATTTTAGACAATTGTTCCTTTAAAGTTTGCCACTCTCTATGCAGAATGTTGAGCATGTTTTGAACATCTCACTCAAAAAATTTCTACAGAATAATAATAATAATAATAATAATAATATCATATTTATACAGGTTAACTTTGGTCAGCAACAACGTGCTGTTATCAATAAAGGACCTGTCTAAAATATACATGGATTACCGAAATAAAAATTAAATACATGATGAAAATGATATCTTAAAAGTCGAAGTTAAAATTTTTACAAAAAGTCTTAAATCTTAGAATTGAAGTTTCACACTTCATTTCGTCTGTTAGTTTATTAAAAATCTTTGCTCCTTGAAAGTAAAAGGCCTTCTTGCCTGCTTCTGATTGTACTTTGGGCAAAACAATATTTTTTGCATTGGCACGAGTACACTGCCTGTGTTTTACTCTAGTGAAGTAGTTTCGAAAGGCGTGTGGCGATACGCTATTCAAACTTTTGAAAACTTCAAGAGCACACATCTTGTTTCGTATACTACTGACTTTCTCCAGCTGTACACTGTCCCTGTTGCCATTTATTACTTTCAGTGCTCATCTCTGAATGTTCTCACACACCATCTTTTTTGATGGTGCCATGTGAAGGAACACATTGTTACAATAAAGCAGAATTGGTAAAATTGTTACTTTGTAAATTGTTTCTGCTGTGTAAGGACTTATATTATGCCGTATACGCGACAATAACTTTACTCTAGATGTGGCTTTTTTTATTGTTTTTTCGAAATGATCAGAAAATGTCAGGTTCTTGTCCATCTTTACTCCTAGATATTCGTATTCTTTAGATTCTGTGATCTTTGTGTTATTGATCTTGATCTCCATAGGTTTTGATTTCGAAGTTCTCTGGTGTGTACCATAAAGGACGCACTCGGTCTTGGTCTTTTTAAGATTAATAACGAGATTATTTTGCTGAAGCCAGTAAGCAATCTGTTTTAGATCACTGTTTAACTTTTCTTCGATAATATCACAATTTTTACCAGCAACGTACAAAACAGAATCATCAGCATAGAGGGTCATTTCACATTGGCTTAAATTTTCATCGATATCGTTTATTAGTAAGGTAAAAAGCAATGGACCCAATATGGATCCCTGCGGTACTCCACAGGAAATACCTTGACTTTCTGACAAGGCTCCATCATATGATACAATTTGCGTTCTACCAAACAGATAGCTCTCGAACCAGCAAAGCTCCTTGTTTTCAATACCATAATTAAGAAGTTTAGATAGGAGTCTCTCATGGTCCACTGTGTCAAAAGCCTTTCGAAGGTCAATAAATACAGCTCCAGTCATAAGGCCCCTGTCCATATTGGTTCTGATAAAATCTGAGAAAAATGTAACTGCATGTTGAGTAGATGATCGCTTTCGAAAACCAAACTGTCTCTCCGAAAGCATATTATTAGCCTCAAGATAGTCATAGAGCTGATTGTGCACAACCCGCTCAAAGACTTTTGAAATAACAGGGAGTATAGAAATTGGTCTATAGTTATCCATGATCGTCTTTTCACCTGACTTGTAGACTGGTGTAATTTTAGAGCATTTTTCAGCACATGGGAAGATAGCCATTTCAAGACATCGATTAATCAAATTTGAGAGAGGACCAGCTATCTCGTTTGCCCCATCAACAATAAACGTTGTTGGTATATCATCACAACCAGCAGCCTTTTTTCTTTTTAGTTTCGTTAAAATGTCTCTGATGTCTTTGATGTTTGTCATTTTGAAATTAAAGGTTACCTTTTT